AGCAGTGCGCACACCATGCTTCACCGTGACATTCCCCCAGCCGTCCCTCATAGCTGTACCTTGCTGGAAAAAGCACTTGTACTCCACATGCACAAACTGGCGCTCATGCAGTGAAAGCGAAGGAATCCATGTTCAGATCCTGAAGACCACTGCCGGACGTTCACGGAGGGTCCTCAGCCAATGCAAGAACCTCCAAGCTCCAGTAGTGCCTTCCACATTGCATCCAACGTGACGATGGGAACCGTCGCGAATTAAAGCTCTTGATGACCTTCAGTTTGTCACGAGTGATGCTCTTGGAACTGGAGGCTCCTGATTTCTTCTTCGATGAGGCTGACTGCACCGTCGGGGTAGAGCTCGTTTTGCATGAAGCAAGCACACTGTTCACATCTTGCAGGGAATTGCAGGACCTCAGAATATTCTCAAGTTCATTGCAAGAAGTTTTCTTCTCTGGCGTCTTGTAAATCTCTGCTCCACCTGAACGGATGTTGGGCCACTCTTTCTTGTCCACCGGATTGTGCTGAGAATGTGTCTCCAAATCAAAGCCCTTGGTGTTCTCCTCCAGCTCGAGCAAAGTGCGAGGGAAGCCAATCGCAGGCCTGGAAATTGCACATAGTGACGGCCATTGGTAGCCAGACAAAGAAGATGCTTTCCTCTGTGTGTGGCTTTTGCATTTGGAAAAGCAAAACCAAGGGCCCTCCATCCACAATCTCCAACACCTCCCAAGTCCACAAGGCGTGAGCCTTTGACTGGTCCGCTTGCATTGTCCTTCAGCTCATCGTCGAATCTGGGCCTCTTCTTAATGGGTGAGTTGCTGGATCCTTTGCCGGAAGGACCTTCACCACCTTTGGACTACAAGGCTGCAAGTCATCTGAGGCTCAGTTGCAGAGATCGGGCCATCCTCCTGGATGAACCACTTCGGGCCAGACAGACGGACTGCTTCAGACTGCAACTTTCTTTTTCTTCCACAACTTGATAGTGATGATGGTTGTTCGCTCGCCTGCGCAAAGTTGAATCCGTTTGTTTAGCCTTTGAAAGACCACGCCCCATTCTTCCGCTTTGGTGGTGCAGCTCTTCCTTCAACATGGTAGCCTTGCTTGACAAGTCGAAGGGATCCCCCAAACGTTCCATGCTCTGTATGTTTTGTCCTTGTCCTCAACCCCCGCAATTCCTAAGTATGCTCCTCCTCCACGGAGGAATGCCAGCGGCTTGTCTTGAGCTTCTTGACATGCCCTCTTGAAGCAGCTGCAAGCAAACTCCTCCTCCAGGGGCGTGGTCCATTTCACAACATGTTGAGTGACAAGGTCTTTCGACAATCAAGAAATGGAGCAGGCACCCCTGCCACTCTTGTTCAGCCATGAGTTGACCTCCTTGTGTGGGACTTTGACATAGCCTGTAAGGATGTTGTCCTGTGCCATCCAACCTGCTGTCCGGAGCTGGAGCTCAACAGTGCAGCCAAGGCATTGCAAGCAACGCTCCAGATGTTCTCTCAAAGTGTCCTGAGTCTTCTTGTCCATCAAGCCCAACAATGCTGTGATGCGGGGGCTGACCAAATCACCTTGGTCATCAACCTCAGGGAAAGCAGCTTTGATTGGTGGCTGACTTGTTCACTTGGGTTTGGAACTGTCCAAAGTCAAAATCCTTGTCTTCAGCCTCGCCAAGTTGTTCGCACGGGGCAGCTGGTCGTGAAGCTCGTTCTCAAACGACAAGCTCTCATCGATGAGCGGAACCAAAAGGATCAGCGTTGAAGAGATCTGATGTGCTACAAAGAGCCTTCATCTGCAAGGCGCTCTCTTCTGTCGTGACTGTGACCTCTCCCCTGGGGTTTTTACCTTCTTCCAGGCCACAATTTGAGCCACCAGCAAATTTGCCCACCAGACCTCTGGCCTCTGGGATTCCTGGAAGAAAGACTTCTTGCCACCTTTGCCTTCCTTTTGCCTTTTCTCAAACTCCTGGTAGAAGGTTTGTTGCTTAGAGACAGCGTCTTCCTTCAAAGGTTGAATACGTTTGGGCAACTTCTCTCTGTCACCACGATGCTTAGAATCTTGCTCACATTGGCTGGCCAACTCACGGAGCTCCTTCAAGACATGGTTGGGCTTCGCTTTGAAGCTCAAAGCCTTTTCTAAGATCCATTCGAGGTCTTCGATCATGGCTTGATCCAACGATTCGGTCTCCTCATTTCTCCAATCTCAGCAACACACGAGTCAGCCTCTTGCGCGCTGTGGTATCTGAACCTCCTGCTCCACCACGAAGTGAGGGGAGAGAATGTGCATCATCATAGTAAGCTTTGCCCACCCAAACATGTGTTGACTTGCTTGTAGTACTTCGCGCCTCAAGACTTGAGGCCGGCCCCTCCTGCGAGGAAGAGACTGCCAGGGGGCGGGTCCAAACACCTTCTGAGGACGTACTTGGAGCGTCTGGGAAGTCATTTTACTTAACTTTGTTGCAAAGTCTTGAAAATTTCAATTGTTTATTATATATATTCTATGATCAATAGAACTATTTATGTTTTGTTACATAAGAACAACAAAAGTAAACGAATCATATCTATAGAACCTGCCCAAACACACGGAGCGCTGCACGGAGAATCGACTCGGTGGAGGTTCCTCCGGCCCGATTAATCGACTCGGGAGCCCGGTTCCAACAACCAACCAGCTATCAGGTGGATTGGTGAGAAACCCCAGACCCCTCCTTCCATTCGGGTCCGACCCCTCCAGAGAGAAGCACAGGGCCGCGTCTAGGTACTTCTGAACTAGCACATAGCCAAACACTCCATGGGACTGCCATATATGGCGATCAGTTGGGTGGTTTTGGGGGGGTCAATGCAAGCATATATGGCAGTCCCATGGAGCGTCTGGGATAGGGTTTGGTTTCGAGTCCGGACCTTTGCCCTTGACGGGTGACATAGGACGATATGGCCGTGGGTTGCCCAGCGAAACGTCCATAGACGAGACTACGAGACAGGGAGGTCAACCTACTAAGGATTAGAGGTTCAGGTTTTGGCCCAAGGCCATATAGTCATCCTGGAGTAGAAAGAATATGAGAAGATCAAAACCAAAACTGATCCATGTTTTTGGATTGGTTCATTTCATTTCATTTCTATCTCCACGGATGGTTATACATGTGGCTGGGTACCTCAAAAACGAAGGGTGGGGGCCCTGGCTGCGCCACCAACATTACCGGTCTGCCAAGCATTTCAACCTACCAGCTTTCAACAAGCTTGGTTTTGACCTACACGTCCTATCCTCGTTCCCAGCGCCGATGAGTGACGCAGCAACCGTGACACATACACTTCGATATTGGTTTTCAGTTATAGCTCAATTGCCAGGTCAAAGGAAGGTGGTAGAACCGAAAGGTGGAAAGTCCGAGGAGTTGAAGGTGTTTGAACAAATGTTTCTCGCAAGCTGCAAAACGAAACGGTCTCAAAAACGCGCGGCTCAGCTGCAAGAACGCGATGGAAAGGGTTTGGGGGGTGGTAGCATGAAGAACCATGGAAGCAAACAAGGTCAATTGGACAGCTTGTTCAACCGTTGAAGCAGGTACACATTCATGGCCAGTGGATGCTTCCCTCTCTGATGCACAGCTTCGTTGGACAGAGTAGCATCAGAGAGCTCTGTCCCCCTGCATGCAGAAACCCTTCGAAACAGGGCTTGACACACACACGGTGCCGCTTTGCGGCGCTCGTGTGAGAAACCTGAATAGATACCTAAAAAGCCTTAGAAACGAAAGAAAGAAAGACAGAAAGAGCAGCGCTAAGAGGGCAAGAGAGAAAGATAGGTGTAGAAAAATGAAAAGGTGAATACTTAGCCCTTGACTGGGGTAGGGAAACGAGCCTCAAGAACCACCTAAAAAGCCTGAAAGAAAGCCCAAGAAACGACGAAAAACGCAAGAAGGAAAGCGGGGGGCAGGGAGGGGGTGTATGTCCATGTGTGTACGTGTGTGTGTGTTCGAATACTTAGACGAAGTGAATTAGGTGCACTAGTGAGGGAGCGGGACTTTAGTCTTAAACCGCCCGGGTAGAGTAGACTAGAAAAGGGACAACAGAGGGAAAGGCACCGTCACACAAGTGTGTCGAGTACCATTTCCCTATGTTACCCTAAATAGGTAGGGAGTAGAACGCGGTGGGGGGGGGTCGGGAGACCTGCCTCAAGGGGTGGGGGAGGGGGGGAAGGAAGGGGGAGGAGGGATGACAAAAACCGGTTTTAAGCCCGGCGGCTGGCAAATTCGTTTTATAGCCCGACGGCTGTAGGATCCAGTGGTGGTCTTCCATCGTTGGCCCGGCGGCCCAAAGTGCAGTAAATTCAGAAATGAAATTGAATCGATGAAAAAGTATCAATGGAACAACGCCGGTATGTAAACTGCGCCTCCTTGCGGAGGATCACACCCAGCACCCACGTGGGACGGCTGAGCGGCTCACACTTTGATATTGGTTTTCAGTTAGCTCAATTGCCAGGTCAAAGGAAGGTGGTAGAACCGAAAGGTGGAAAGTCCGAGGAGTTGAAGGTGTTTGAACAAATGTTTCTCGCAAGCTGCAAAACGAAACGGTCTCAAAAACGCGCGGCTCAGCTGCAAGAACGCGATGGAAAGGGTTTGGGGGGGTGGTAGCATGAAGAACCATGGAAGCAAACAAGGTCAATTGGACAGCTTGTTCAACCGTTGAAGCAGGTACACATCCATGGCCAGTGGATGCTTCCCTCTCTGATGCACAGCTTCGTTGGACAGAGTAGCATCAGAGAGCTCTGTCCCCCTGCATGCAGAAACCCTTCGAAACAGGGCTTGACACACACACACACATACATACACACACACACACATCACAGATTCCGCCTTTTCTGGAAGAGAATCAAAGCAACCAACCCTAGGGCTCCAACTACCTCCTGAGGTTCGGTGGTTAGGGTGGCTTTGGGGGTCTAACCACCGAAACTGAGGATATGGTTGGAGCCCTTTATGGTTGCGATGCACTTCCTGGGCCGCGTGTGCGAACCGCGCTCCAGGCTCGCCACGTGGGGAAGACCATGTCTTCCACGTAGTCTCCCCGGCCTGGCCCACGCGACGAACGCGACGAACAGAGACACGGTCTCGCGGCGGTCGTTGCGGCGTTCGTCGCAGCTCTGAAAAGGAGAAAGGCTTCATTGTAGATCAAGTCTGGGATGGATTAAATAGGCACATCATGGCACATCTACTAGGTCTTGGCATGTATTGGCATCACTTGAAGGGACTTTCAACTATTCCATATTCCTAACACTTCGAACTTGGGTTTTCAGTTAACGCAAGTGTCTCGGTGAGAAAGAAGGCGATAGAACAGCATGGCGGAAAGTCGGAGACAATTGTAGGTGTTTGAACAAAAGCTGTTTCCCTTGACTGCAGTGACGAAGCGGCGCAACTCAGCTGCAAAAGTGGCTGTGGGAAACCTGTTTGTGGGGAAAGGATCATGTGGAACCACCATGAATCAAACCAAAAAGATTGGGCAGCGTGTTCAAAAGTTGAAGCAGGTACACATCAGGACGTCTCCCGATGCATCACCAGAGAATGTGGACGTCTTCGTTGGCAGTGATTCCACAAACTCTGTCACTGCCCCCTGCCTGTGGAGAATGGGAAGAGTGGTGGTGTAAGACCCTTTGTCCAGGGTGGGACACACACAGGTCGCCGCATTCGGCGCTTTTTTCAAAAACCGGTGGCAAGCGTGGTAGTTGTGTCCCTTTTGGACGTATAGGTTGACGAGTTCGGCCGCAGCAGCGTCAGCGCTGGAGGGTGGAAATGTGTATTTTCGAATGGTGTGAAGTCGTGATTGGAGGCCTGATAGAGCCAAGCGCTGGCTCCCGGCGGTTGTGGAGTCCCGGATTTTCCAGGGTTGAGAAGGTTGCATGTAGGTGATAGTGCGTTGTGGGAGGTCGATGTTGAAACCGAGGAGATGAAAATCCTCCACCGGTTCAAGTTCCACAGGGTCGCCAAAGAAATTGTGGTGGATGAGGGTTTGGATAGCCGGGTGTTGGAGGAAATGTTCGTTGTGGACAATGAAACGGTTGTCGACATACCGATAGTAAGTAAAGTGGAGGTCCGTGTGTTGAAGGAGGTTGTTGTGGATCTGATGCCATGAATGCTCAATGAGGGTGATGGCAACATTGCATAGGGCTGGAGAGAGCTGGGATCCAATCCCGGCCCCTCGGATTTGTTTGTAAGTGTTGTTGCAGGCCCGGAAAATGCATGTGTCGAGGGCAAAAGCCACAATGGTGGTGATGTCGGAAGTCTGGATGGTGCGTTGGGTAGGGTGTTTTCGATGGTGTCTGCCAATGTGGGAGTGGTGGAACGGATTGCCGGTGGCCTGGACATCCACCGTTAAGGTGTGTGTGGATTGCTGTTGTTGCCAGTGGAGAACAAGGGAGTGGACTGCATCGATGAGTCGGTGCTGGGGGACGGAGTTGAAAAAGCCGACCAGGTCATCATTGGTGGCGTGTAGTGAGATGTCAGGCGGGGTTTGGGTGAGGTAGCTGTGAAAGTGGTGCCAAAGCTGTGGAATGGACATTTGGCCTGGATGCTGAGGGTAGAGGTGTTGGAGGATAATGTCGAGGGCACGGCTGGTGATGCGTAGCAAGTTGCCGCTGAGTGATTGGAAGTAGGATATAATTGTACGGCCTTTTTGCCAGTGCTTCTTCTCTTTAAGGTGGACAACACCGTAGGGGATGTTGAAGTCTTTTCGGAAGCCCCACTTGTAGCGGGTGCGCAGGATGGGGGGGACGGTGGCGGCCAGGTGGTCATGGATGTTGGCGACAGTGATGTAGGGAAGTGGTTCAAATAGTTCAGGGGATTGCCAGGTGTTGAAGGCGCCGGTGAAGTATTGGCGAGGGCAAAACAGTCGCAGTTGTTGGAGCTCATGATCGGCGTGGTGGAGTAATGTGTGTTTTCCCAATTGGAGTTGACGAAGCAGGCGAGCCGTAAAACGGGGTTGCTGCTTGAGGTGTGTGTTGTGAAGGCGCCATTGGTGCTCAAGGAAAGGCTGTAGGTGTTGAACTAGGGATGGTGGAAGCCCTTGTAGTTTGAGCCATTTGGTATAGGCAGTCTTGAAAATGAGGAAGTACCGAGCTTTGCTTGGGTAATAGGTGCTGTTCATATTGGCGTTGAGGAAAATGCTGAGGTGTGTAGGGAGTTGGAGTTGGTCGAGTGTAAGGATGTAGTGGCCATTGATGGTAGGGGTATCGGGATCCTGCAGGAGTGTGCGAAGGTGATCGCATGCACAGGGGAGGTCTGCTGGATCTGGCGGGGAGTGGAGGGTGTCCTCCCATGTGCGGTGGTTGTGCAGGTGGGAGCGGAGGGTTTTGTGGGCGGCTTCCCTCAGTCTGTGGGAGGGGAGGTGGAGGGGAATGGTGAAATGCTTGTGCTGCTGGATGGTGGTACGAAGCCATTGTTGGCAGTGCTTGGTAAAGTCGTCGTGGGCCAAGAAGGGCACTGTCAATGGGATGTTTGGCTTTGGTGGCGTGAGGTTGCGGTAGATCAAGGCTTTGTTGAGGATGTGGAGAGCTCGGCTGCGGCCAGGTTCTTCCAAATTTGCGGCCATACGCCGGATTGCATACACCTCGAGGTCCGTGTGGCGGCCGCTTCGTATCTGTTTTGCTGCCTCAAACGAGGCTGCGGTGTGTTTGGTAAGGTTGCGAAGAAGTTGGAGGGCGTGATGCTTAGTGGAAGTGTAGAGGTGTGGTTCTCTGAGGGTGTACTGGCGTTGTCGAAGGCGTCGGAAAAGTCGTTTGTGGGTGGCTAGTCTGGAGTAGAAGTGGGCTCTGTGTTTCGCGAACTGCCATCCCTGAGCTTTGAGTTTGAGGTGGTGGGAAATGAAAGGCCAGTTGAGTGAAGGCATCCAGTTGGCGATGTAGTGGTGCTCTTGGATCCAGGCCTGGTCATATGTGTCATGGGAGGTAAGTTGAATGGTGGTGTAGTGGTGGATGTTGTTGTGTGAATGCCAATAACGTAAGGAGAGTTCTGCAGAAATGGGAATGTTGTTTTGGAGTTGTTTGAGTTTGGCGCGGCGATTGTGCTCGCGGTGGGGGATGCCGATAGCTGTGGAGCCAATGTAGAAGTGGCCATGTTGATGGTAGCAGCGTTGGGGTTGGTCGGGATTGAAGTGGAGCTTGATGTAGACGGAATTGGAAGAGAGGAAGTTGTGGTAGTGGTAGGTGTGGGGTAAAATGTGGAGCTGGCGGAGGCGGTTGCGCCACTGTTGTGAGCGACGGGTGTTGGAGGGGTATGCGAAAAGAAGTGTGATGTGGATGAGGCCGGTTGCAAAGATGGCCTCGGCGCGGTCGATGTATTGGGTGCGGTGAATGAGGATGGAAAGTGCTTGGTGCAGGTGGAAGAGTTGGGTGAGGTTGGTGTGGCTGGGTTGCTGCTGGGCCAAGATGGCGAGTCAGCAACCGATGGCTGCGCCGACTCCCACCAGCTGTTGTAGGCTGCGAATGGGGAGTCTGTTGACCCGGTTAAGGGGGAGGCCATACTTGGTGGCTGCTTCTTTTAGCTGCTTCGTGGTGACTTTGCTTGTTTGCAGCAGTCGGATGACCTCCTTCGCAGCTTCTTGGATGGTGGGGTCAAAGGTAGTGACCCATTGTTGGATATCTGGGTAGTTCCAGCCTTCGGGGATGTCGTCTTGCAGCGTGGGGTGTGGTGGTTGCAAGACGTCGGTGATGGCTGGTGGTTTCGGTGGTGGTGGTGTAGGTGCGTGGGAAGGGGCGGCTGGTGCAGAAGATCGACTGGTGTTCTTGACTGGTGTGAGCGGGTTGCCGAGGTCGTGGAGTTTCTGACGTGCACGAGCCAGTTCGTCGTTGGTGTTTTTGAGGGCGCGTAGGGCGGAGCCTTCCGCAGGTGCTGGGGAGTGGGTTTGCAGTTGGTCGATAAGCAGTTTGATGAGGGGAGCGTGGAACGCTCGGGCATGGGTGGTTTTGTTTGGAACGTCTGTGCTCTGTTGTGTGTGGAGAGCCTCCGCTATGCCGTCAAGGTCAAGGCGGTTCTCGCGGAGTTGTTGGAGAAAAAGGGTCACGAAGACCGACTCCGCTATGCTTCTGGTGGCAATGAAACCTGTGAATTTGCCGTTGCTCAGGGTACGGGCGGTGAACTCGGAGGTACCGTGGTAAGCCAATTGCCACGGGAAGACCTCAAAGGTGGGGAGGCCGGCCACTCCTGCTTTGCGAGACCACTGGGTGGGTTGAATTGTACGATGTAGTTGGTGGCCGTGCAGGGTGTTGGAGTCCCAATGTTGCTCGGTTGGGTTCCAGGAGTCGGGAACAGGTGGTGTGGGAGATGGGATGTGTGGGGGCGGTGGGGCAGGCGCGGTGGTGCCCCGTGTGGTGGGTGGTGGCGGTGGGCTGTGTTGGAAGGTCGATGGTGGTGGAGTGACAGGTTCGGCCGTGGGCAGGGATGGCGGCGGCGGAGGTGGAAACTCCGGCTGGGAGGTGGGTGCCTGGGGTGGGGGTGTGTGCTGCGATGGCGGTGTGTACGGTGGAGTCACATAAGGGTTGGAGTGGTGGACGTGGTGTGTACGAAGTGCGTGAGTGAGTGGGCCGTAGGTGCCTGTGGGGCTGTAGGTGTGGTGTGCGGTGGTGGGAGGAGAAGTTGTGGTATCTGGGTTGGTGAGCTGCTGATGATGTTGCTGCATCAAATAATGATTCCAGTAGTATTGCTGCCACTGCGCGTCCATGGTGGCTGGGCGAAGTATCACTGGATCGTGGGCGTGGAGCACCGGTTGTTGATTTGAGCAAGCTGAACAAGGGAAACAGGTGTAGGACAGTCAATTGAGGGAGCAATGGTGGCGTTAAAACAGTCATGCTGTCGGAAAAAGGTTTCAAAGAGAAAAACTCGAAAGACCGCGGCAAACACAGGAAAACCGGAAAAAACCCAAGAAGGCGTCTGTATGGATCCGAACAACCTGTTGAATATCAGACTGTCCACTGAAGCGCGCTGTTTTTCGTTGTGCAAGGTGAAACTGAACGTAGTTGTCTGCGGAGCAAGCTGGGCGACTGTCCGAAGATGATGGTGGGCGTGTTGTTGGAAAGTTGTGG